AGCCGCTGATGACAGCTATTATTTTGAAGGGGACAGTCAGCTGAAAAGTTCTGCTATAAGCTTATGGTCGCTAAATCGACCATGAGCTTATAGCAGAACTGTAAATGCCACCGACGTAAGGCATACTGAGCTGGCCAGCCGGGAACACTTTTGTTCTGCCGTATGCCTTACGTCGGTGGCAGCGAAAGGGTTAAAGCTTTTTTAACCAGGAAAGTTCTAATGGGCCTTATTAACGCTGTATATTTTCACACATCTTGAACTGTGGGAGGGATTTTTGAGCATGCCTAATTATGTTCCCTGTTGTAAGCATGCAGGAAATAGAATTTAAGAATTTCGACACTACCCCCCCTCCCCCAGTCTTCCTCATGATATTGGCATTCATAAACTCTGACCTCCCGATCTTTTGGGCCGCTTCACTGTGTGGCTTGTGAGCTGGTGTGTTGCATAATACTGCATATGCAGCAGCTCTAGCATGCACTGTCGCCCAATCCATAGAACTGCACCAAGATAATCTTGTGTGGCAGAGTTGACACATGCGGTACCTTTTTACTGTGCAACTTAATGGCTAGCAGGACCAGAAAAAATGGCGTATACAGTATTTTCATTTCACAGCACTTTTTTTCACAGATGATTGAAAGTTAAAACAAAAATGTTTTGGGTAGATTAAACCTTTTATAACTTAAGCTCCTGCTGTCCGCCCATTGAGAAAAAACGGACGGACGGCAGACTTGCATCTAGACAGCTTTTTTATTTCATCGCACGCACGGGCAGATAAAACACGTCCGCTCTGCACAGCCGTTACCGGCTATTTCATATACATACGATCGGCGGCTCTATAGCCCGCCGATCGTATATATGTGCTGTCTTTGCGCCCCCCCCCCCCCCTGACCCCTCACCTTCAATCCCGGGATCCGCTAGCCCATCTGCGGCTTGGGAGGGAGATCAGCATCTTCTTCCTCCTTGCTGATCTCCCTCCGAGGTCTGAATGCAGAAGTGATGTGTATTACATCACTTCCGCATTCACCTGTCAGTCATCTGGCTGCTATATCTGTGCTTCATCAGCTTCTTTGGGGGTGCCCAGGTGACAGGGGTATTAGAGACCCCTAATGTCTCCATAAAGAGGACCTGTCAGTGTGCCTTTGCTATTATATAGGAGGATTGTTATCAATAACAAAAGGTGTAAAAAAAAAAACCATTAAAAAAAATAATCGCATATAAAAAAACAAAACAAAATTTTAATCCCCCCCCACCCCCACATTTACGCACATATAAACGTAAGTACACATTCGATGCGGCAGCGTGCGAAAATGACAATTGCGCTACACATGTTGCATATCGTCGCGAACGTCTGAGTGAGAGCAATCATTCTAGGGCCATCAATCACTGATGAGCGGTAAAAGCTTTTAAAGCATTGCCTATGGCCAATTTGGGGTTTTGTAGTTTATTCAGGTTTCGCGCACGCAATTTTAAGGCTTGACATGTTTGGTGTCTATTTACCCGACTAAATATAAGAAGATTAAACTTCAACTTTAAGCGATGTGCTTTCCAGAATTTTCTAATTTTGTACCATTTTCTAAGGTGATCCAGTGGTGTACTCACCACAAAGATGACCCTCCTCCACCTGAGGATGATGAGAATAAGGAAAAGAGGACAGATGATATTCCCGTATGGGACCAAGAATTTCTTAAAGTTGACCAAGGAACACTTTTTGAACTTATTTTGGTGAGTATGTTGTATGGTTATTTTGTTTGGCATAAGAAAAATCGTGTGTAGTAAATGAACAGAAGAGAAATCCAAATCAATATTTGGTGTGACCACCCTTAGCATTCAAAAGGGCATCAATTCTTCTAGGTACACTTGCACATCGTTTTTGAAGGCGCTCTGCAGGTAGGTTGTTACAAACATCCTGGAGAACTAACCACAAATCTTCTGTGGATTTGGCTGCCTCAAATCCTTCTGTCTCTTCATGTAGTCCCAGACAGGCTTGATAATGTTGAGGTCCAGGCTCTGTGTGGGGCAAACCATTACTTCTAGGACTCCTTGTTCTTTTCTACACCTGAAGACAGTCCTTAATGGCATTGGCTGTATACAGGGCCGTCTTTAACGTAGGGCAAAGAGGGCACTTGCCCCGGGCCCAATCAAGGTTGTGGGGCCCAGAGCATCTGCCCCTTGAGCCCGCTTCCCGCAGAAAATTGCCGATCGGATTGCATAGAATAATACGTTATGGCAGCGGCCGCATACGGCAATGCCATAACGTATTGTCCTATGCGATCTGCACGATCGCATCCTAAAGTTAGCTCCTCCCCTGGCCCCCGCCCGCATAGCGTGACATGTCACACGGCACGGGCTTCACTGGAGGACGTGAGGCTGTGCCGCACGGGTGCCTCACTCGGGACACCCGGAAAGAGGCAGACTGGCACGAGGCGAGGACTGAGACAGGTCAGAAAATAAAAAAGGAGAAATATAAAGGAGATATACAATTTGTATATCTCCCTGAAAAGCTCACTCCATTTCTGTTCTGTCCTTCATATATATGTGAATAACATGATGGGGCCTACTAAAAGGAATGACAGAATGGAATGCCCATAGACTTTGACAGGGGAAGAGAATGCCCATAGACTATAATGAAGCCAAATGGAATGCCCATAGGAAAAATCCAAAGTTATTTCAATTGTAAAATGTTACTATACATGGGGAAGATCTGTGGTAAAGGATAAGTTGATATCTTTTTCAGATTTGCCTACAAAATATCTGATACTATGCTTCCCATTATACTCTATGGGCATTCCGTTTGGCTTCATTATAGTCTATGGGCATTCTCTTCCCCTGTCAGTCTATAGGCATTCCATTCTGTCATTCGTTTTAGTAGGCCCCTAACATGATTGATAGAATTACAATGCATGATAGTAGAAAGCCATGATTAGACATAATTACCATGGGTTTTTTTTTTCTTGGTGGGGGGCCCAAGAAAATGTTTGCCCAGGGTCCGATCAATATTAAAGACTGGCCTGGCTGTATGTTTGGGGTTGTTGTCCTGCTGCAGAATAAATTTGGGGCCAATCACACACCTCCCTGATGGTATGGCATGATGGATAAGTATCTGCTTGTATTTCTCAGCATTGAGGACACCATTGATCCTGACCCAATCTCCTAACTCCATTGGCAGAAATGCAGCCTTAGACTTGCAACGAACCTCCACCATGCTTCACTGTTGCTGCAGACACTCGTTATTGTACAACTCTCTAGCCCTTCGGTGAACAAGCTGCCTCTTGCTACAGCCAAATATTACAAATTTTGACTTGTCAGTCCAGAGCATCTGCAGCCATTTTTCTACACCCTAGTTCAGTGGTGGCGAACCTTGGCACTCCAGCTGTTTTGGAACTACAAGTCCCATGAGGCAGTGCAAGGCTCTGACAGCCACAGACAACTCCCAGAGGCAGATGCATGTTGGGATTTGTAGTTTTGGCACAGCTGGAGTGCCAAGGTTTGCCACCACTGCCCTAGTTCCTATGTTTCTGTCCATAGTTGAGTCACGTTGCCTTGTTTCCACATCGGAGGTATGGGTTTTTGGACACCAGGATTACATGGAGACTGAGATTTGAGGCAGCTTACATCCAGAGATCTGTGGTTAGTTCTCCAAGATGTTTGGTACAATTTACCTGCCGAGTTCATTCAAAAATTGTGTAAGTGTACCTTGAATTACCTAAGAATTGATGCTGTTTTGAAGGCAAAGGGTGGTCACACCAAATATTGATTTGTATTTCTCTTCTGTTCATTTACTTTCCATTTTGTTAATTGATAAAAATATACTATTAACACTTTATTTCTGAAAGCTAGAGCTGCAGCTAACGATTATTTTCAGTTTAGTTAGCCGATTATTAAGTTCGATTTAATCGGATAAAAAAATAATTTTTTAAAAAAAAATGACTCCAGTGATGGACTACTAGTTTGTATTGAGATTGTATTCCATCACAGGAGCAGGCTTGGAATGGTGGAAGTAAAAAAGAAAAAAAAGTGCGGTGTGCAATATAGTGAAATACAGCAATGAATGCAGAATGGCACCGGCTATAGAGGACTACAAAACCCAGCAATAGTACATTATACAGCACAATGCAGAATACCACCAGCTATAGAGGAATACAACAAATTCCAGCAATAGTACATTATAGCTGGTGGTATTCTGCGTTGCGCTGTATAATGTACTATTGCTTGGTTTTGTAGTCCTCTATACAGCGCAATGCAGAATACCACCAGCTATAGAGGAATACAACAAATCCCAGCAATACATTATATATACAGTGTATAATGTATTGCTGGGATTTGTATTCCTCTATAGCTGATGGTATGTTGCTCTGTATAATATACAGCACAATCAGCTATGGAGGAATACAAATCCCAGCAATACATTATAGAGCATCAAGTGTGGGGAAGTGCAGGCTTACCTGAGCAGTCTTCCAGCAACTTGCTTCTGAGATCGGACCTGTTGGTGGCTGTCATCCCCCCACACCTGCTCCTCCTTACTTCTTCTCCCCGCGTGCTGATCGTGGATGTCGGCAGGCGGTCGGTGAGCGTGAGGAGGTGTGGCGCGTGGATGCGGGCGGGTCTGGCAGCGGTGAGGTGGAAGAGGTGCGGCGTGTGGAGCCGTGAACAGGGCCAACTAATCGGAAGCCGATTAATCGATGATTGAGACCGTTAACAACTTTTTCAATCGATTTTAGTTGTTGCAGCCCTACTCAAAGCATTCTTACTTTACAGCATTTTTTTTTTTTTTTACACCTGCCTAAAACTTTTGCACAGTACTGTGTGTTTTTAAAACATGATGCATAACACCAAAAGTGTTATGCATCACATTAATCTACACTCAGTACCCCAAAATGACAAAGTGAAAACCAAATTTCAGAAATGTCTGTGAATTTATTAACAAACAACCAAAATATCACATGTACTTAGATATTCAGACCCTTTACTCAGTACTTTGTTGAAGCACCTTTTGGCAGCAATTACAGCCTCGAGTCTTTTTGGGTATGACGCGACAAGCTTTGCACACCTGGATTGGGTAATTTTCCGCCATTCTTTGCAAATCCTCTCAAGCTCAGTCATGTTGGATGGGGACTGTCGGACATCCATTTTCATGTCTCTCCAGAGATGTTCAAAAGGGGTTAATGTCAGGAATCTGGATGGGCCACTCTAGGACATTCAGAGTTGTCCCTAGGCCACTCCCGTTTTGTCTTGACTTTGTGCTTGGGATCGTTGTCATGTTGGATATGTTGTCAGGTTAACCTTTGGTCCAGTCTGAGGTCTTGAGTGCTGTGGAACAGGTTTTCCCAAGTCCTCTTCCAGGGCAGAGCGTGAGAGATGGGATCCACCCACCTAAAACAGGAAACGCATCATCCACAAATAAAAGGGGTAGTGCTGCCCAACCAACTCAGTTTGTGCTTCCTCCGGCCTAACAGGAGCATCGTAACAGTTTATTTTGTCCATAGGCATGCGTGCTAGTTGCTGGGCCTACCAGTGTATGCTCCCCTGTAAATCAGGGACAGCGGACCTGGGGTGTTGCATGCCTGGGCTTGCCCTAGGATTAACCTCCTGGTTATCCTATTATGGGACCCTAGCTCCCTTATCTATCCCCGAGGTTTCCACCTTGAGGAAAAGCAACCATACCCGGGTGCATATTGGCTGGCTCTAGCAGAGCTTTCCCTTACTCGCATTTGGTTCGGCTCAGAGTTCTCCTCTGCATTGCCTTGAATGGTGGCGGTGTCTATCCATGCTCCCTAGTAGCATCCTGGGCCTCCTTGAATGGACAGCTATGCAATGGAGTGGTGAGTACCCCTGACGCCAGCATCCACAGATGCCAGGGAGGGAGTGCAGCGGGTGGGGGACGCAGCCACAAGCGCAGCAAAGAGAAGGGAAACTACCATGGATTACAGTAAGGCACACATTACAGTATTGTATGTTAAAAAAATCTGAGGGTTTAATGTCACTTTAACACAGGTTTTGTATGTGTTGTGCATTGTTCCATCAGTGGGTGGCTGATTTGGAGGCAAGAGCTGCAGTGCAAACACTGTCTTCAAAGCAACACACATTCTTCAAAGCAGCAACCCCAGACAATTAAGCAACCTAATTACTCCTTCCTTCACTGATATAATTAGTGTTGCGCAGGAGTATTGGGGATTTTTTTTTCCCAATTTCACTTTCTTTGGCAACCTCCTTTTTGTGTTGGAAAATATATAAGGAGTTATCAGCCTAGAATGGGTTTTTTTGTAGAGGTGTACCGAAATGAAAATTTCAAAACTGAAATGAAAATGTCAGGCCGAAGCCGAAAATGACTTTTTTTTTAAATTCTAACTCATTCAAATATATTTTAATTTTATTTATTTTTAAACTTATTTTTTATTCACTTGTATTAAATATTTTTTTTTACATTTTAGGGGCTTCTGGGAAATATTAGGTGTCTAAACAGACCCCTGATATTTACCTTTTTTAAAAATGGAAAAAAAGATTGAGGGCACAGTCCTCAATCTCTTTTTCTGCAGCCACTGTTATAAATGAACAGGAATCCTCTATACTGAGTGTCCCTGTTCATTCATAACCTGTGGACATAGTGGGGGGGAGGGGATTTTTTAAAACTGGAGCAGACAAAATCTGGAGCAGATGTGCATGGCAACCAATCAGCTTCTCTCCAGTTAGTTCAGTTAAGATTTGAAAATTAAAGAGAGAACCTG